GTGTGAAGTGGCATTTGGGATTTATTTACACACACACACACACACGCACGTAGAGACTAATACAGACGCGCAGGCATAAAGTCGACAAGGATGCCAAAGGATCGCTGCTCTTAAGCGCTTTACGGACAACAACAAACAAAAGGCGTGCAACAAAAGGTGTCACATGTCAAGGCAGAGACTCCCAAAAGGCATGCCCAACATATACTGAATGTAATTTTTTGCCTTCATCAATTTTTTTTATTTTTCTTTTTTTTTTTGGTTACATTTTTGAAAAACAAACTAACAAAACAAATGCGCTGCCTATTGGCTCCGTCGACGTCGCGCATTTAACCCCAAATATTTATGAGGTAGCCTCTACCTTCCAAGCATCTCCCTCTCTCTCTCCCTCTCTCTCTCTCTCTCTCTCTATATATATATATATCTATATATATATTTCTATAGTTCTCCCGGCTTATCATTTACACTTAACGGCTCAGTGAGGGCGGCGGCACGTGCCTGCCTGACGCATCTAGCGATTCATGAGCCTGGCCAGTTGAGGTTGAGACCCTGACCCGGGCAAAAAGGGGAAACATTTGAAGTATTATTAACCGCAAAATGCTCATAAAGGATCAATTTGTGCGCACACGTGTCCAAGATAATGCCTAGCCACTGTGCTTGTGAATGGGAGGGGGCGTGGGGCGTGGCAGTCACCATCATAGCGACATCATTGCGACAAAGCGTGAAGTGCACATAAATCAAAGAAACGTCTGCCAAATGGACACAATTTTTGATGACAGCAATTAAAGCTGGAAACGGTTGGTGGAGGAGGAGGAGGGAGGAGGGAGGAGAGGACAACTTGATGCCTTCCCTTGGACATCGGTTGCATTTCGAGGTGCACTTTCAGTGTTCCATTATCTCTATTTGTTAACTTCCACCTGCCTTCCATTTATAAATTAGCCATAGGTCTTTGTCCAATGCTATCAAAGTCATTAAGCTCCTGGTCTTCTTAGCATCTTCCACAATTTTCAAGTTGCGTAAATGTTGTGAAAGTGAATCATCCGTGTGCCACCCAATGGCATGTGTTCTCATGTTGTGGATCGTGGATAGTCTTTTCTATTCTAATTGATTAGTATTCGTAATCCAAAGTCTCGCTGTTGCACTCGAACTCACCGTTCCAACAGCACTTTCGAGTAGACAACGCAAACTACTATTAAATCTGATAGTCACGTTTTATACAATATTAATGGTAATTGAATTGAATTACCTTTCCAAAACTATACACTTGTATGCATAATTAAATAATGGCTTCAGACAAATTCTCAAAGTAGGGATTACGATTGTAGGAGACCCGGTTTATTTACTCACCATTCGATTTTAATCGTTTGAATTTTGACTGTAACTTAACGTCCAAGTGTCAGGCGAAAAAGATAACAAAGAAAAATGATTTCGAAGACTCGGCAACAATTTTAATTGAACTTATTAAATGGAAATAAGTAATTATTTTCATTATTTTTTTTAATAGAAAACTTTAAGTTTAACAAGTCTCCAAAAAGGAATGCTGCCATCAAACATTAAATAACTCTTGGGCATTTTTGCCATCGCCAGTCGAGCTTAGCAGGCTGACTTTAATTACCTTTCCATAACAGTAGCTGGTTTATTTTATTGATACCTTCCTGTATATAAACTTAATGAAATACCAACGATGCTACACTCAAAAAAAATCGAATTGAACTTTGAATAATCGTCTAAAAAGGAAAACTTAAAAGTTGTTTTGGTTTTTAGAAAGATTTTCGATATTTAGTAATTCGAATTTCTTAAAATAAGAAATCCTTCTTTTATATTTTTCAAAAAATATATCTTAATATGCTCAGGCAAATGCATTCTTAGCTTTTCACACTAAGTATTTTTCTATATCGATCTCGAATTTCTTATCGAGCACTTTCTCTCCTTTAGAGCTATTTGCCTTCTCTCTTTTTAGTATCCATCCACCGACTTTGGTTCTTTATCTGTTACGCTGTTTGTATTCCACTGCGCCAGCTGCTGTTAAAAGACAATTAATTAAACAACGCGTTTGTTCAGTGCAAGTTAGCACCATTTAGCCAGTACCAGTCGCAGGTCGCAGTCGCAGTTGCAGTTGCAGTCGCAGTTGCAGTTGCAGTTTGGTTCCAGTTTCGAAACCGCGTAAGGCCTCTATCATCATTCAACTGACCTCTAATAGGGGCGTCTGTGGCAGGTGATGTCTACTCACAGCTCACCCCCAAGAAGCCCCCACACACAGAAATTGTTTGCAATTTAGTTGAAGTCGCGCCTCTTGGCCAAATTGACTTTAAATTGCCAGTTGGCGCAGCGCATCATAAATCCAAGTGGCACCAACTCCAGCTCCATTCAAATGCAGCTCCATGAACTGCTACCCACTGCTGAAGCATTTCCATTTCCATTTATGGAGTAGCGGAAGTATCGCTTGTCCCACCGATCTCCTCAGCTGCCGGCCATGCTGGCCACGGGGCCGTGGGGCATCGTTGGCGGTCAGCGGCGGCGGTCGCAAATTATCAACAAATTAGACTTTTCGTCGAAGCGATCGCTGGAGTTGAAGCTGAAGTTGAAGTTGACTCAAAGTCGGACTCAGAGCAGGTATCATATTTTGTTTTCATTTGTTTGCATGTCTCGTTGTCATTTCGTTGATTTTGGCGGCGTCTCCTTTGGACTGTCATTTCTCAAGTCTCATCTCTCAGAGCTCAAAGCAGCTCGTTTTTATAGCTGCCGCCGTCGTCGTCGTCATCGTCGTCGTCGTCGTCGTCGTCGTCATCGTCATCGTCTCCGTCGCCGCTGGTAAAGTGATTTCTTCAACGCTTTGTTAGCACACAGGATTGATGCAGCTGTCATTAGGCGTTTTCGGCTTAAACGGATCCCAGCCAAGTGACCGCAGCAGCAGCCGAAGTTTGCTAAATGCGTTTTTAACGTGCTTTTAATTGTCAGCTTTGCTTTGTGGTTCCCCACATATGCCAGCACAACACCCACCACCACACACCCCACACACACACTTACACACATATATAGATATATATATATATATATATATATACACACACACTGAAGCTGTTGAGCACAAATTAAATCAAATTGAAACTAATTAGCATAAATAAATTTACACAAAATCCAATATCGCAATATGCCTCGTTAGAGGCTTTCACACTTTACACTTCACTGAATGATGACGATGTCGACGACGTCGTCCTCCTACCACTCCCATTACTCCTGCTCCCTGCTCCCTGACTCTGCTTCTGCTCCGCTTCAGGCATGACATATACAAGCGACAACTGTCAAAATAGACAAGTTGCATTTGCAAATAAATAGACGGGCATTCGTCCGAACGGAAACGGAACTGACGGCGCAGACGGGCAAAAGGACGACGCACAGGAGTCGCTTTCCATTAGATGACACCATGGCCGTAAAGGGTGTTCGACCTGGGTATAGGAGGGGGAAGGGGGGTGTTGGCTGTGCTTCGACGCTTGCGCTTAAAGTTTTAGGCGCAATAAAATTAATTGGATTTGCCGACGTTGCTGCCGGCTGCTGTCGATGTTGGTGGTGCCCGTGGTGCTACTGTTTGTCAGTTGATGTTAAGCTGCTAACCCACAAGCCACAATCGCGCACACATCCCTGCCCCAAGCTCACACTAAGAAAAAGAATCAGGCCCCAGAATTTACATAATCGTCATACTTCCGCTCTATCATATCTTAATTATTGGCGCGACTTCTCCAGAGAAAATCATTCTAAATAGCAAAATTTACATTTACATAATAGTCGGGAAAACAATGACTAAAAATATCAGAATTTAAGAAATCCATTTAAAAATTGTTTGATATTTGAAATTGTTATTTAAAAATAATAATACGGTTTTTACATTTTCTATTATTTTGTATAATATAATAATAAACTGCAAGTATTTATAAGTAAAAGTATTAATTTTTTTAAAGATTCTTTTCTATAAATACTTTACTATCAAATACGATATAAAATGAAATTTGTAAATTCAGGCACATATATTTTTGCAGAGTGCATTCAAAAGCGAGAGTTGATTAGACATACGCGGTGCCTTACTGCAAATATTTGAAGCACTGCTCGCCACTGCCAGCCACGCGGCGTATGCGCAATGTAACCCAATGTATCCCTGGAGCCAAGTTCAGTTATTTACCACTTTATTTGCGGTCTTGTCAAAGCAATCAACACACTCAGCCAGCCAACCAACCAGCCATTCTGTCAGTCTGTCAGTCAGTCCATGTCCTGGTGGTGGATTTTATTTACTTCACCCAAAAGCCAAACCTGAATCTGGACTCTGGCTTTGGCTCTGCTGCTGGCTCTTCTCGTCCTGTTTGTTTGAATATCTGTCCGTCTGGCTGTCTGTCTGCCTGCTCGTTGAGTTTATTTGCAGAATGATTTTTCAATAATTTATGTATGATGTTGTCGACAAGCACAGCTACATCTACAGCCACTTGATTTAATGTGCGGGGTGTTACTTTCAACACCCTCCAATCATAATAATAATAACAGCAGCAGCAGCAGCAACAACAACAACAACAACGACAGCAACAACAACATCAGTCAATAGTGTTGGTGTGACAATGCAATTATAAATGGTGACAAAATAATTTCCGCTGCGTGATTTTTATGACAGTTGTGTGGCGCATTCTGCTCGAATGCATTCGCATCAGAGGCACAAATTAAATAAGTATTAAGTAGTTTATCTGCAGCCTCTGACAAGCCCCGCCGTCCACAACAAATATCAACCCCCATTATATCCCCTCCACGCCAGAGTTCTAACTAAATCGCATCCTTGGCATCAGCACATTTCAACTGCCGATTTAATAAGCATAATTGGATACAAAAAATAAAAAAATAAAAAGGAGCAATAAATGCAACAAACGAAACAGAAACTGAAACAGAAAGAGAAAGATATACAGAAATAGAAACACGTAACATAACATTGTATCAAATGAAATATGTATAATTTAAATTCATCCTGATTTCCGACATCTTCGGTGCTGTGCGGGTGTTTCCACAGCTTTTTGGCTCCTACAACTCGTCTCTGCCAACGGCGCCGTCAAATGAAATCATAATTTAATGGGTGTCCGTGTGTCCAACGTTCCCCATGTGTCTGACCCCATCGTTGTAGTCGTTTCGAGACCATCGCGAATTCATAAAAGCTTGTCATTTTGTGCACGCAATCGCATTGCGTTATAATTGGAAATTGGAAATGGCTGAGAAAAAAATACAAAAAGAATGCAAAAAAATAAAAACCGAAAAGAAATAAAGGAATAGCGGACGCGAAACCTTTGCGGAATTGAATCGATCCGGTCTTGCTCTTGAACTTGTGTTGGGGACTTGGTGGCTCTATCTCCACCAAAGTGCCCACATTTGTGTATGCATATACATGCGTATCTAGCAGAACCATGCGAATTACACTGTAATTTACAAGCAGTTAAAGCCAAATACTTACGTAGTTATTGCTTAATTACGAACATATTCTCTGCTCTAACTTTAATAAATAAAATATGAAGTTTGTAGGTGCCTCTAATGTTTGTCAAGTCCATTTCCTTATTATATATTCATGAACTCTACTGACAGGCCCTTTTGCTCTCAAGTCAATAGTATTTCTGGCAGTAACTAAGAACGACAAATAACAACTACTATTGTAAGCACGCACGCCGGTTATTGTGACAAATATGATATATTAATTCGATACTGATTTTATTTATTTTTGACAAAATGTGACGCATAACTAAGGACTTGCCCAAACAAAAAAAGAAGTCTGACATATGCACATTTTCATTAGGATAAATTAAATAATGAGCGACTAATATGTATAGAAACGGAGTATTGATGCTGTCAAAAAAAAAATAGTAGACAAAAGTTTTTTGACCACTGTCAAACGGTTATAAGCGATACAAATTTAATTTATGTGTGTGCCAACCAAAATCTTTTTGCCATAATATTTTATGGCCACAAGGAAACTCTTTTTATTTTTCATTGCTCCAATAAATAGTCTATGTTCATAAGTATGATTTTAAGGATGCGTATCCATCAAGAACTTTGGAGATCTCATAACGGAACGGATTTAAAAGAAATAAAAATTATATAAATTACGGATATAAACTTGCTTTCCCCTCCTTGGATAAGTTAAATATCACCCCAAAGTCAAACTTATAATATAATCCGATCTGGTAATTTGCTAACTAGGAACTTTAAAAATACCTTTTCATTTGTATAATAAATACTATTTTGATTGACGATTTTATACTCTATTTTCTGGATGATATATACAGCTGGCTACCCAGTAATTTAGCCCCTTTCTGATACCATTATCTATAAAACAAAGTCTCTATTTTATTGAGATCTGTGAGTTTTCTTTGCCCCATCTTTTCCACTCGATTCTATAGTCGCTAGACTTTAAAGATTCCACTCTCGCCGTATCTCTCCAACTCTGATTAAATATAGAATTATTATGCTCCGATCAAGTGTGATCGTATGCAATGCCTTATAATAATAAAAGTTCAGCTACCAACTTGTTAGACACACTCATTCCAGTATCTGTAACTCGAGCATAGATGTGTGATTATTTATAAGCAGAGTACTATGCGACAATTGAATTATCATGGGGCTTTATGCCAAGTGGAACTGAAATAGGGTGTTCCAATTTAACGCGGCCTTCGTCCATTTGCCAGTTAGTTGCCACCACTTCCATTGTGCCAGCTGATTGTCAAAGTGGCCACGGGTCAGAGCATTGTCATAATCAAAGTAAAGCCCATTTCCACTCCCACTGAAAAGAAATGCTGACAGCTGTTGGGGTCTTACCTTTCTTTTTTTATACTGTTACCTCTGCCGTGTCCTCTTTTCAATTTGAATGAAAATATACAAAATAAAAGAGAAAGCAAAAAAAATAAAATAAAAACCTGTAACACTTGCACCTGACCACAAAAGAACATAGTCCGGCAATGGCATTGTTGATGCAGCCGTTACAACTTCATTACAACAGCTCAACAACGCCTACCCTCCCCCCTTTTTTCTCCTCGCACATGTAAAGCAATAAATCCACCCCTTAAGCCAACACCCCCCATCTGCTCAGGGCGCTCTGGTCGGCTGCCAATGGCGGACTGGGGTCAAGCCGTTGTTGGCTCTAAGTGAGTTGGCTTTTTATTGGCAGCACACGGCGCACGGACAACCCCCCGAATGGCCTTAGCCGAGCGAAGGACGATTTTAATTTACCCTAATGCGTCTATAATTCGAGCCATTAGTGCAATCACATTAGAAACGCTCGACAACCCTTTGCCAATGACATATTGGGCAAGCAACCAACCAACAACCAGGCCGAAAGCTATTCATACATGTTTATTTACATCTATGTTATACTGCCAAAAGCATACCCTGCAAATCACTACTTGAGATCTATCTTCACTATCTGAGTAAACTTGCTACAATGTTATATATTGTATTTGTTTGTTGTCATTACTTTGGTGAATTTAAATTATAAGTTAGTTGGCTGTAAATAAATAACTAAACATTTGGCCAAAGTAGCTGGCAATTGAAGCATAGCGATAAAAATGCGTATGCTAAATTCAAGTAGCAGATCATTTGAGATGGGGGCTCAACAACTTCATCACATGCTGCTCGATAATTTCGTAATACCCCTCGGCACACTCTTTAACGTTAAAGGTACCTTTTACCTGCGTGCCTGAGGTAGTTGGTATCAAAATATTATTTCATATGCTGACACTCGCACGTAATTAGGGCTCGACGACCACGACGGGATCGGGAATGGGTATGGTTTGTGGGTTGGAGTTTGGGGATGGAGTCTACTTTGACTTTGGTGTACGCTTGATTGGTTGGCCGAGCCAATTTGACTCTGAGCTGGCTGACAGACACGATAGCCAAACCGTCAATAAGGCGGCTAATTAAAAATCAATCGTTCGCCCCCTTTTAATTGGGCTGCATTCGGGCCGCTATTAATGGCCAAAAGCGAGCTTATCCTGGCACGTGTCCTGCACAAACATTGGCGCACACTTTCGGCCGGCGCTCGATGGAAGCAAAAAAAAAAGCAAAAAAAAAATGGAAAGCAACAGAAAATAAAACGAAAGCAAATCGTTTGATTTTTTATGCGCTTATGTTTCATATTTATTTATAGCTTGTCCAACAAATTACGCGCTTCAGTTGCACAAAAAGACGGCCAACACGTGCCTCCCCTCTCCCCTCCCCCCTCGCGCACATATCTTCTCTCTGTGCGGTTCACAGGGATCGACATTTTCAAAACTGAATGAATCTGCAGTGAGCGGAAAATGGATTTCTAATATATGCCTTAAACATTTTACATAAAGTAAAAAAAAAAGTATATATATATATATCTATATCTATGAAAAAATGTGTAAAAAACCAACTGTAAAGATGAGCTTGAAATATGCTAGCTGCAGCCGTGACGGGACGCGAGAGCGAGCGGGTGAGTGGACGCAGCTCAACTTTTCCCGTAGGACGTCCGGGCTTAAAAGTTGAGAAAAATGAAACTTTTATGAGTTGAGCTTCTTCTTAGCATTTTCATTTGGGCCTCCGGTGGTCGGCGAGCAATTTTCATTTCGATTAAACGCTTGAACAGCGCCCAACTAAAATGGCCCGCATAAATGGCTACAGCTACAGCTTCATCTTCAACGCCCACGTATGCTCCTATGCCTGTTTGCGCCGCTTGGGCGCTCCGACGGATTCCAGACCGCTGTCAAACTCGGATATGGTCAGGGCTCTTGATTTGTTCAGGCTTTTCATAAAGTTGCTCTTGCCGGCGCCCTCTGGCAGATGGTGCTGTCCGTTCTTTCTGCGATCCGCACCGCCCGCCGGCTGCTGCTGGTGCTGCTGCAGTTGGCGCACATCTCCGCTAACCGTTGTTGTGTAGAGACGCCGCTTGGCACGCTTCGCCTGCTGCACTTTCTCGGGATCGCTGTGAATAACGAGCGCAGTTGAATAGAAATTCAATATATTTTAGCTGTTTGCTTACCGCTCCGTGTAGGTCAGACGATTGGTGGGCGGTGCTGCTTTCGGTGCCGCATACTTGCTGGCAAATTTACTGGGCGCCTCCTTGAGGGCAAAGCTCTTGGCAAAGTGGCCCATGTGTGTGGCGCGCACATTGAAGATGGGCTTCAGCTCCTTGGGAAACGTCGAATAGAACTTCATCCAGGAGACAAAGGCTGCAAGCAACAACAAAAACAGTGAGTGAGTGTGTGTGTGTGTGTGTGTGTGTGTGTAAGTGAGAAAGAGAAAAAGAGTCTTAGTTTGGATTTTGGGGCTGGAGTCGGAGTCATGTTAATGCTTTTAGAATTAATTGATGTGTTGGCTTAAGTGCCTGCCTGTATGTATGTGTGTGTGAACGTGTGTCTGTGTGTGTTTGTGTGTATGTGTGAGGCATTCATTACAAAATAAATTTGTTAAAATGACAAATGAGCAATGTCAGCAAAGGATTTCTGGCTGCCATCTCCTATACGCAACCACCCAACGCATATTCGTTCAAAGTCGTCGTCGTCGTTGTTGTTGTTGTTGTCCTGTCTCTTTTGTGTGTTGCGTTGGTTTTGTTGTGGGCATGTCCTTGCTAATTACGCAGCACTTATGCCAGGCAATGCCAAATTATACAACAATGATATCAAATTACCACAACGTGCGCTATGCAAAAGCCGCAATTGTCCTTCCAGCATGTCCTCGAGTGTGATAAGCATCTCGCACACACACACACACACACATATATACAAAGCGACAGGGATATGTAAATGTGATGTGAAATGAAAAATGCTATGAAAATTTACAACAAAAAAAATAAAACAAAAAACAAAAAACGAACCAGCAGCTGTTGTGTGTGCCACGATTGAGAAATGAAAATGGATAAGTCACTTTGTGAGTGAGTGCGACCTGGTCATATGGGACCAATTCTAATAACAGGCGAACCAAAACGAACCAATTACCTAACCACAACTCAACAGATCCCAATCGAAATATTTTTAACAACAATTAGCAGGCGATATACATATACATATAGCACTTCAAGCTAGTCATTAACATACTCTATCATAGATTTCGAATATAACTTGCATAGTTAGCATATATATGCATATATATATATATATATAATTGTAAAAATTGTTGATTAGTACTTAATAATACACTGTTAACATTTGAATGGTTTCTGCAGCAATTTAACTGTAGGGTTATTCAAATATATTCAAAGTTGCGATTTAATTAAAATTCTTTATAGAACTACCTAAGCAGTCCACAATTATCTAAAAAGCTTGGCTAACAGATCTGAAGATACAAATAACTCTGCCTCACTTCAAGAAATACAACTTAGCGCCACTAAAATCTTAAATCAAAATCTACGCTTATTTGTCGATCAAGTAGGTCTAAGGATCGTTAAAAACAGAGAGAGAAAGCAAGAGAGAGAGAGAGCGAGAGAGGGAGAGCGCTAGAGAGAGAGAGAGAGAGAGAGAGAAAGATATAGAGTGAGTGAGATAAAGTCAGAGATGCTGCTCTGCCCAGGCAATTAACTGGGAACAGAAACCGTTTCGTTACGTTCCAGCATCCATCCGTCCGTCCGCTCTGGGAGATGAGGGTCGCTTTTGTAAGTCCCTGGCCTGTGGGAGTCTCAAAGTCAAGCCCTTGTCTTTGGGGCTGCTTAATTGCCGCAAATGCGATTACAGTCAAGTGGCAGACATTAAACAAACAAAAGTATGACGAGCCCGGATGTTTGGAGACGTCTGCCAGCCGGAAGTTGCGAATAAAATAAATGTCATTCGAGCACTGTCAACTCCTCGGGTGGCAAGCCGCACGAGAGAAGCCACTACGACTCTCCGCCACCCCGCCCTCATCCCTTACTCCACAATCCCAACCCAACCCCAAGCTGCAGCACAAACCGCACAAAATGGCTTTTCATGCCACATTCTCATCCCCCCATTTTCATTCCCAAAAAAAAAATCTATTCTTTCCCTGGCCGATTGCCATTGTTTAGCTTGGCCAGTGGGGTGGCTGATGTGGGGTGGGGGCGGGTGGAGGGGGGCGGTGCTCGGCTAATGCGTCCGTCGACGGCTCAGCGGCAAATGCGAGCGGATATATTTTATAAAGCGCGCGTGTCCATGCGGTTTCTCTTCTTCTTCCACTGCTTCTTGTGTAGGCGTGGCAAATTGTTGTGATTGTTTTTCCCCCTGCTGCTGCTGTTGCTGCCTTTGGCCCTTAGACTGCCGGCTCGGGTTCGGAGTTTGGGCTCGGTTTTCGGCTTAAGGCTTTGCGGCCTGCGGTTTTTCGCTCATTGTCCACTCTGGCTACTAAGTAGTTAATCATGTGGCAAGGCGAATAACGGGAGGGGAAATACTTTTTTATTTAGCTAATGTTTGGATGATACGAGAATAGTTGCAAGCCAGCGAAAGCCAACTGCCACAATTGAGAAAATTAACAGAATTACATTTAAAACAAATCTTTACTATTTAACTGCACTAAAAACTAATACAAATGTTAACAGCTATTTTAAATTCGATTTAGAATACCCCAATTTGGAATAGTTGTCCCACATACAAGACAAATGAAATCATATCTCCTACGGAAAAATACTTCTTCGACCAGTTCCCAGTGGATATGAGTTTCACAAAAGCATAGCTGCTGTATTTTCTTCATCTTTATTCACCTCCCTTAAAAGATAAAGCCAAGACTTTCGCTCAGATCTTGAACAAATGATTTTGCTTCGACTGTGCTCGGTGTGCCCAACTTGAACGACTTGAGAAAGTGAATTTCAACTTGAAAATTGTTTCAATTACTGACGCATGCAGCTCGCTCGGTGCAGGAGGAGTCAGCCGGCGTTATGCTGGCGAGCACCAAGGATGCATTTGCCTGCTCAACTTTATCCAGCTACACATCTATCTATCTACACTCAGATAAAAAAAATCGCATTGCATTTTAGAAAATCGCAATGAAAACTAAGAAAGTTTTTCTAGTTTTTAAAAATAATTTCTATTAAAGAAAAATTCGAATAAAAATGAAATTTATTTCTAAAAAATTGATGCACAAAGCCAAATATTTGGAAAAAAAGGTTTAGATGTATGAAAAAGGTTCCATAAAATTGAGAAAAGAAATATACTTTCGAAATAGTTACACTAGGCGCCAAAAGTAGAGTGAATTCTTTTCTGAGTGCATCTCTCCTTTCTCTCTCTCTCTCTCTTTCTCTCTCTTTCTTGCTATTCTCGTAGCCTGCCTCAGTTTGCCGTTGTCTTAGTTTGTTTTTGTAGTACCTCTAAATGCTTTTATCTGCTGCTTTGTACAGTTTTGCTCAAGCGAAATACTTTTTAATGGCTTTTTGATTGGACGCAGCACAGAGACTGCAGCCCGTAGCTGTAACCACCCTTCTCCTACCCCTTCCCCCTTCCCCCGGTCAACCCTTGGCCAACCCACAGCTGGGTTGGCTGCAGCCGCACTGTATTCCTTTGGGTGCACTCTTAAGTTTTGCCAAACGGCTTCCTGCCGCTTGATGCTTGACTCGACGCTTAAGTGCAATTTGAGTATTGCCATTTTGACTGTTCGGGCAACTTGTTGTTATTGTTCTTTTGCCTCTTTTCAATCAGAAACAACATCATCTTAATCCCCATCATCATCATCATCATCATCTTTTTCTTTTTTTCATTTTCTTTTGGCTTGTTGTTTTTCCCATTGTTTTGGCCATTTTGAATATTTCGCACAATTTCCGTTTCCTGTTTGCTCGTTAACATTTTCAGATCTAGATATATATTGTTTTGAGCTCGTGATTCATTTCGAATTCAATTTATGTTAGGGGCGAGAAAGTGCGTTATATTTTGTATGTTTCAATCAAAACTGTCCCCCCCCCTCCCCCTCCTACCTGTAAAACCTTCTACCAACCCCTATGCGATCCCCCATCTCGAGAGCCTTAACCCCTTTTTTTTTCTTCTTTGGATGTGGAGGCGTCGCTGCAGCCTTGGTAACATCTAATTAACTTTTTGTCTGTCGCGCTGCAATTACATTTTCAACAGGACATTAACGACGACAAAAAGGCAACATATTGAGCAGGAATGACACCGCCAGCGACAATACCCTTGCCCGCGAGCATTACGGGCAATCAATGGCTGTGGACTTTGCCAGGGAGTCGTCATGGCCTATGGCTGCAAGGGTATGCGGACCAGGATAACGGTATGACGACAGGCAGGAGCTGGTCACTTCACACACACACACACACACACACCGAATGAGAAGGGGTGGGCGGGTTGAAAGGAGGCGGGGCTGGCGATACGGCACGCAATCGAAATTAACTTCAAATATGAAATAATTTTTCGTGTTTTTAGCGCTAGCCAGTTGACAGCGTACAAGTGGGCGCAAAAGAGGGCTGGGGGCGTGGCGTGAACGTCCAACTTATAATTGGAAAATAGCAGCGAGTGTCTATTTGTTTTTGTATATCCTTCTGGTATTTCAACTTCGTTTTCTATTTTTTTTTTTTTTTTTTTTTTTTTTTTTGTTGTTTTTCATTGAAGAGCAGCGAATATTGTGTTGTAATTACAAAGTTAATATCCTTTGGTGAAAGGATTAAATTGCTAGTTAGATTGAGGTAGTCGGGGCTGATGGAATTAGAGAAGGGGGTGATTGAGGGATGTGGGGGGCGGAGGGGGAGGGGTTGCATTGCCATAGATACCAACTTACCCTTGCAGGACTTGTCGTGCAGTTCGCGATCGTCCTCGAGCAGCGACTGGAATTTGTGCTGTAAATTGGACGCCGCCTCCTGAACGGTTCGCGCCTCCGCATCCCGCGGCAGCAGCGCCTCCAAATAGCCATACATATCGCCCTGCTGTATGCGTATCCGCTTGTTCTCCAGATGACGCACATATTGCGCCTCGCTCGGCGCCAAGAAGAGCACAGCGCGTCCCCGGCGTCCCGCTCGAGCCGTTCGACCCACCCGATGCACAAAGTCGGCCGTTGTCTGGGGTGGTGTATATTGCACCACCAACTTCACATCGGGCACATCGATGCCCCGGCCGACAACATCGGTGGCCAGCAGGACACAGTTGGCGCACTCCCGGAATCCCCGAAATACGGCCTGTCGCTCCGTTTGCGTCATGGAGCCATTCAATCTGTCGCAACAAGAAGAAAGCGCAGGTTAAAAAATTGATTACGCGATGTGGTAAGTGCACAAGTCCACAATTATTCCAAATCTGTCTTCCTGAGGAAGAAGCTATCTAGAAATCGAACCGGCAATTACTAATCCAATACAATACAAATACAAAAATATGTGGGGAGTCGGGTGAAAATCGAGCAGAGAATAATAGCGGATTTTGTCATACGTAATAAGAAACAAATCCTTAAAGTTGGGAATATGATCCAAGAAGAACAACATGAGCTGTAACTGGATAACATTATTAAACGTTTATAATGTTAATTTTGCTATTGAATAAATTCTCCGAAACTCTAATAAGCAACTAGTTTGAGGTCATTCAGATAAAACGCTTAAATCTTTATTTTTGAAGGTTATTTTGACAAAAATCTTTGCTTCCTATTTCCAAATTTTCGAAAGGATGTAGAGGAAAAAAAGAAGTGTGCCCCATTAAATTGTTGACTCTTTTGGCATGCTGGCCATGAACTCTTACCAATCGTAAGAGGATGTTAATAGTAATCTCCCATGTTCCGAGTTTTGTGACTATCGCTCTACAATTGCTGGAGATATAGGCTCTCTCGATGTCAGGAGGAGGTTACTAGTAATCAACCTTCCATGTTTGGGAAGGATTTTGAGAATATTGGCGGTCGAGAAGAAATTACCAGTTATATACCTGACTAATTTCGTGACGTTAACTTTCCAATTCTAGGAATTATATGATTTTATTGACTGACTTTATAAAATTGTTTTGTCGATCCCTATAACTAAAGTTAATTATAATAATAATATAAGCAATTATAGCAGAAGCAGAAATGGTGGATGAATGTAAAAATCGATTGGTTTGCTTACTTGAAAAAGCGGAGACCCTGCAGCAAGGGCGTTTCATTGTTAAGCTCATCATTTCTTGACTGATCCTTCTCCAGTTGCTGGTCGTCGTCCTCATCGTCCTCGTCGAGAATGCGACGTGTGAGGGCCTCGTTGAGTACATCATGATGGAAGTTGACCATTTCCGTGGTGCTCATGAACACAATGGCCTTGAATTGCTTGGGATTGGCGGCCAGCTCCTTGGCGAACAGCGCCGCAATGGTGACCAGTCTCAATTTGGGCGGCACAATCACATAGCTGAGCTGGAGATTCTCTGGAATGCTCAGCACACCGGTCACATCCTCCAGATACTCGCCGAGACCGTCGTCATCATTCGATTGCGCCTCAATGGTGTCCTTGTGATAGCCATTGTTGCCCTTGAGCGCCGCATCCGCCGCCTCATCACTATTATCGATGTAGATGGGATCCTTGAGCGTTAGTCCGGCCAGCTGCTGCACCTGGGCGGTCAGCGTGGCGCTAAGCAACAGACGCTGCATGGCAACGGGAGCATTTATCTGTACATTGGCTTCGATTTCATTCTTTTGTTGTTCGATATCCTCGGTCCGCTGTTTGTCAATGGCCTCGACCAGCTGTTTGACATCACGCTCGTAGCCCAGTTCGAGCAGACGATCGGCCTCGTCGAGGACGAGAAAGTGCAGCTTCGATAGCCGAAAGCTGGCCGTGTGCAGCAGATGATCGACGAGGCGACCAGGTGTACCCAGCAGCACATTGATGCCCTTGCGCAGGCGTGCCTTCTCGCTCTTGCGACTCTCGCCGCCCAGCAGGGCGCCCGGCACAATCCATGTGTAGGGCTTGACCAGCTTCTGGAACAGTTCGTATGTCTGCAGCGCCAGCTCACGCGTCGGCACAATGATGAGCGCCAGCACGCCATCGGTGCGCTTAATTCGCGGCAGCTGCGACTGCAAGCGTTCCACCATTGGCAGGGCATAGGCCAGCGTTTTGCCGGAACCGGTTTGGGAGCGAACGAGCACATCCCGGCCAGCCAGTACCTGTGGTATGGCCTTCTGTTGCACGCTCGTCAATTGGCTAATGCTCAGCAGATCCTTTAGATTCTTGACGGCATGTGCATGCAGACCCAGAGACTCCACCTTGCTGCCGCTGAATATTGTCTCCTTGACCGGTTTGACAGCACGCTGGCCCAGTTGTTTCAGTGCCGCCACGTCGCTCTGATCGAACAGGCCAATCTTCTTTGTGCTGCGAAATTTATTCACTGGCTGAACTGATTTCTTTGGCTCCGTATCCGCCTCCGCTTCCTTTTCTGGAGCTGCTACTGCTGCACCATATGTCTCCTCGCGCTTACGTCTGTGCTCTTTGTCCAGCTGCGCCTTGAATAGATCACCGGCTCGCGGCTGCTTGTTGGGATTCTGTCCTTGTCCTTGCTTCTTGATTACATCCTTCAACTGCTCTTTACTAATAATCCCCGCTCTTTCTCTTCCGCTCTTTGTCTTGTTGGCGCTGGCAGTGGCCACGGCTGACTGTGGCTTGGGCTTGATGGGCTCTTCATCCTGCGGCACGCTGACATTGAACATAAAGTCGCTGAGCGGCTCTTTGCTGGATGTTTTCTTTAATTGTTGCTCTGTGTTCTTTGGCATGCTCGCATTGAACAGCAAATCGCTGGCGGATGCAGGCGCTGCTGGTGGGCGGGTTGGCATGGTCGGGGTCGTGGTCGTTGTCTTAGCGCGACGCCGCACCACAAGTGCCTTAATCTTGGGCTTGTCCACATTGAATTGAAAATCAAATCCGGCTGGCGCTGCACGTTTTTGTTTTTTACTCAGCACATTTTGTGTCGAAGCCGCCGTCGTCGCCTGTCAGCAGTAAAATGTGAATGGTTTGATGTGGCGTACTTGTTGCATGTTTCACTCACCTTTCTTGGCAACGGTTTTGTACAGATGTTTAATGTTATGTTGTCAACCATTTTGGGGCACTTATTTGTGCAACACGATTTGTAAATAGAAAAACGTGCGCGGTTATTGCTTCTTCTTGCCACGCATTGGGAAACAGCTGACGGCAAGCAGTTTCAGCAAGCAGTTTCTGCGGCGCTCCACCAAGTGGCAACGCCGACCAGTGTGCGCAAGACATTGCGGTCAGTGTTGCAAAATGACAAATGTGCGCACTTTTCAAACAAGAATAGTTTAAGGTAAATTATAAGCCATCAATAAAGTTTTTGCCATTTATTTATATATATAAATACATCTATGTATGGGAACTTTAAGTAACAATTTCACTTTAAAGTAATACAGCTGCAAGGCTGCTCTACATGCTTACAACAAACTTTTGATTACATCAACAAGAAAAAAAAAGTCGAAATGCCATGCATTCATTGTGTGTGCGTGTGGATGTGTGTGTATGTGTGTGGGTATGTACGCTGTGGGTATTTTCTTCAGATGGTGGGTGGGTTATGTTTTCTTTCGGTTAGCCCCAACTGCGAGCACCGCTAACGTCAACAACAGTCCAATTCATGATAGTGACGGCTGATTCCGCTTGTGGTTCTGGTTCTGCATTTTCTTCTGGTTGTTGTCCTGCTCCTTGTCTTAGTCCTAGTCTTAGTCCTTGCCAGGGGTCAGTGTTGACTGCTGCTGCTGCTGCTACTGCTGCTTGGGGCGCCATTGCCAGAGCCGCTGTGATTGAGAGGGCATCCAGTTTATTCATTTTTTCTACACCCACATCCATTTGGAGGATGCAGTGCGTTCTGCCTTCTTCCGCGCTCCCCGCTCGGTGTGTGTGGCAGGCAACATACATTAACTATGCGGTCACGTAATATTCCCGCTGACGCTTCTGGCACTTCTCCCTCGCAATATAGCACAGCGCAATCGTTATGAGCAGGGCGATAGTTACACCCATGCCAATGCTGACCCACATGATTTCTTCATTGATGCCAACGTATGAGCGTCCTATTGAAACCGAATTAATTATCAATCATCAATTATCAATTTAAAGCACATTATTAGCCAAATTACAAATAAAAACTACAAATGATTGGGAAAACAATAGAACAAGGAGTCATTTATTAATTTGTAACTGGCAAAAAGCTCGCCTTAAATTTATGTAAATCCCTATATTTTTGGCGGAAATTCAAAAAGCAAATTTCTCAAATGTAGGTTTGGTCTTTCTAAAAACTAGGGATTGCATCCTTAAAATTATTTCAAAGAAATAGAAAAACTTTTTATTTTTATTTTATTAATGACTTAATACATAATCTACACATAGTATAAAATAGTACAATATACGTACCGTTGTAATAGTGATTGGAGTAGCCGGCCTTTCCGGCCACGCGACCCGCTGGCATTTTGCTTAATATTCAATGCGTCTCCTATTGCCAAAAAAGAAAAAACAATAAGTAAAAAAATTTGAAAAAAATATGATTTGTCGTTGCTTTTTTGACCGCGTTGCCAGAAATGTGTTTTTATTGTTGGTTTTATTTTTGTCCTTTTTGTTTTTCGCATTGCTTAATACAATATATGTCCTTGACAGGATTTGAATTTTTCTTGCTGGCAGACTGGCACCTTGAGTCTAAAAGCAAACACATGTCTTCGATGAGGGAATTAAATTAAATTCTGTTTATAACAATTCGCATTTCGAATTTGAATGAATTTTGCGCATTGCCTACAAACGTTTGTCAACACTAATCGAACAGCTGTTTCTTGTTTGTCATCAAAATTAAAGCAAGTTTCGCTGCGTTCGTGCCAAGTTTTTTTCTTTCGTTTATCATTAACACTGCCTTTAAAGTTGTAGATGCTGCAAATGGATCGGCAGGCCATTTGTGACAATAAAAAGGACGCCCCAGATGTCACGACATCACGAGAACAATCGACAACCGCTACAAATGCCGGCAACGATTCAGTGTCTGGCAAACAGCTGTGCGACTTTTGCGCTACAAAATGCTGCACCTGTGGCTGTCGTAAGTCCTTTGCCTCCCAAAAAAAATATATATATATATATAAATATATATATATATATAGACAAAATAATATATATATGCAGTCTGCAAAAAGGTCCGACGCTGAGTCAGACATTTAATAGCACGTAGGGCTTATCAGTGCCTGAATTAAACAGATACTACTCTGTTGCCCAATTGCAGAATAGAGTATATTTTTTTTTGCTTAATAAAAAAAAAGCAAACTATAAAGCAGACATTGTCAAAAATGTGCACATGAAATCGCTCTTTGTAGAGCGAACAAAATATGATTTTTTTTTTAATTTAAATATTTCCAATATTTCCATTATGCAGATTGAATATATCCATATTCGTCTGTCTGTCAGCTAATAAAACTTGGAACATATCTGTTTACTTTGGTTTTTTGTTTCGAATGATGACTTCTTGTATGAGAATCTTTTTGGTGTATCAAACTAAACTCCCAAATAAATATTAAGATATAGATGTCTGCAATCCTCTGTTATCTTATTTCTCATTTGTATGTATTAAATTTATAAAGTGCTACGAAAAGTGAATATCCCCCGTAAAAGTGAAAACTGATGGCTTTTTAACACCAGATTCCTTAAAATTAGGAACAGAGTATTGCACAGTCGTTCGAATAGTACACATACAAAAATAAATAAATTTATATATATAGAAATGCGTGACTCGTTTTAAGCCTGGCTTGAAATATAATTCAAACGTTTCTGGCTATAAAATAAAAATATATGAGAAATGCCACTAAGCATTCACACACACAAAAGTAATTATGGTCAACTGGCAGATCCTGTTTGATTCGCACGACAGCTCATTGGTATTCGTGCTGTGTTTGCTTAAAAATCCATATCCTTGCTGCAATGGTAGATTCGAGTTCCGCTCAAACGCCTCGTTGCGTTCAGTGAGCGCACAGATTGCATAAAAACGACTGCCCCACTACGCCACACTCCCCTTGAAATTGCTTTCGCCAGCCAGCAAAAACTTTTGCCACAACAGGATGCGATGCTGGTGGTAATGATGATGCTGCTGCACATTAGGACACGCAATTGAAAGGCCCTGAAGGCCTTGGTGTTGGTCGATTTTGGGGCTTCGGCTGGTTTTGGGGTGGTCCACATTTTGCACGCTGACCACATGAATTCACATAATCCAAACGTTTGAGTGCACCCATAGAAACCGCAGTTGCATGCAATGATAAGCCCGAAATAGTTTTGTCTTTTTCGAACCAAAACTTCAACTAAATATTATTTTAACAGCGCATTAAAATTCATTCGGACCTTGCCCTTGCCAAATTTTCATAAATACTCTTACTGGGAGCAGGCATTGCTTGTCCGGTGATATTCAAATTTGCAAATATAATCAATAAGTTCGCCCATTTTTAATGTTATTATGAGTTTAGTAATGTCAGTTTTTCTAGTTTAAATACATATGAATTTTGCTGGCTGCAGTCAAGAATATACATAATTAAATTTTGAATGGATTTTTAATTTTTATTATCTAATTGCATTCACTTTTTATACTTTGATACCAAAGGTTTCATAATTCAATGAAATTGCAACGTTCTATCTTGTTTTTAATTTAAATATTCAATTTAATGGCACAGTTTAAATTGCATCAATAAATTTGTTATATTGAGTTATCTTCTGAAATATGAATTCATAATTAACTTCAATTAATTTGGATTGTTAAGCGGAAAAAATAATGCATTATGAGCTAAAATTCAATCACTCTTGCACAGCTCTGGTGAGGGGCAGAGGAGGAACAAGTCGGGGGATATGCATATGTAGCATGTAGCATGTAGCATGTAGCATGTACATATAAAGCGTGATTATAAGGCTGTGACTTGGGGAGGCAGTAAACATAGTAATTGATATTGAATGCAATAATCGTGGATAGTTTAGTTGCCTTCAAGGTTCTCATTTAATGTGGTTGACGCGCAATATTGCAACGAGTGATAAACATTTCCGACTACTCCGATAAATGCAGGCCAGCGAGGCGGCACTGAATTCATAACGTTGGCAACAGTTGCAGCATCATCAGTATGCGTCCCCAACTAACCGCAACATCCGCAATTGCAGCTCAGCTGGAGGCGGAGCCCATCCGGGACAATGTGCAGCTGCTGGGGTTCCAGGTGCGCAGTCGAGATATTGACTGGAGGCGCTACGTCCTACCGTTGGACGTCGGAGTGCGCGGCGATGCCGTCTATTTGGACAGACAGTCAGACTTCGTGAGCAACCATCGACGTTCGCTCAGTGGCACTGGTCGCCGCGAGCTGCTCGTCTGCCACGACATGATGGGCAACTATCTGGCCGATCGGTGAGTGAGTTTCACATTGACTGGTTTCACATTACCATTGAGTGCTGGAGTGTTTAACCGTCCCATGCTTGCAGGCATTATCAGAGCTCGGAGAAGTTCGATGACTATCGTTTTATGCACTGGTCAGCCGTCGATTATTTTTGCTACTTTAGCCATCAGTATGTGACCATTCCGCCCAGCGGCTGGCTAAATGCCGCCCATCGACATGGCGTACCCGTGCTGGGCACCTACATCGTCGAGGGGACTGCAGGCAGTCGTTTGCTGCACGAGGTCCTGGAGAGCATCGAGAGCGTAGAACGTACCGTTGCCGCCCTCACCCGCCTCTGTCGCCACTTCAGCTTCGAAGGCTGGCTGGTCAATGTGGAGTGCCCGGTCCGTAGCGAGTGCATGCCCAATCTATAGTGAGTATACAGCCATCTACTTATCCCAAGCGTTGCTCCTCAATCAATTCTCCATATATTTATAGTTTACATACAGAGTTACTATTCTCTGTTTATTTTTTTATTTTGTATTTTGATTTCATTGCCAATAGTAGAAAAGTCTAAGGCATCAGCTACTCCGTACAAACTGATTGAAACGAAGCAAAATTTGCTTTTTGCCAACATTTATGTTAGTTGTACACTTTAAGTAGTTGTATTTGTGCCGAATGCATTTAATGATGGATAGAAAGAAGTATAAAAACTCGCACAAAATCGAATATCAGATCAGGGTGCGACTCTAATAGATTTTATCATTTCACTCAAATAGGTTTAGTAATTGATTGATGATTCATGAGAGCATAATAATCAATATATTTGTATATATACACATAATTCGTTTGGAATGCTTGTACTTCACCTATTCCGAGTGCCCAATTAATAAATTTTAAGTTTTAAAGATGGTTGACTATAAATTCAGCTTAAAAGTTAATCCAGGCAACAAATTGTGTCACGCTTCTGGGCTGATTCATTACAAATTCTAACTTAATCATTATATGTTGATAGCAAAATTGTTGCACATATTCTTGCACATAGTCAACGTCATATAAATTCTTCTATCAAATAGCTTATACATTTTTTTATGCACACACATATATGTATATATATATATATATATTGCCTACTTTGTTATCACCAAATCGTATATTTGCATATTATGCATATTTATTGAATGCATATTTCCTTTAATTTTGCTCATTGAAATATATTTGCTCAATTTTTGTTTGTCACGAAAATTGTTTCAGCTCGAAAAATTGAAAAAATTTATTATTTATTGTTATTGGTGCATCTGAATATCCAATTATGCTTATCGCATAATATATTAGACATGTATATATGCACTTGATTCACTGCCACAAGTTGCACAGTTGTGTGAGTTATGCATTCACTAAACTCTCCCAATATATTTCCAACAGCCGGTTTGTGGAGCAGCTGCGTGTGGCCATGGAGAGGCAGGTGCCGCACGGGCGAGTCTTTTGGTACGATAGCGTCATTGACAATGGCGAGCTTGCCTGGCAGAATGAGCTGAATGAGCGCAACGTGAAATTCTTCCGGGCCAGCCATGGCACGCTGATCAACTACAGCTGGACTGATCGCAGCCTGGAGACCAACGAGGCAAGCATGCGGCGAGAGCAGGCAGCGCCGCATCGTCTGTTCCTGGGACTGGACGTCTTTGGGCGCGGGCAGGTGGGTCGCTTTCAGAGCGGCCAAACGCTGGCACGGATTGCCGAGCGTGGCTTCTCGGCGGGCATCTTTGCGCCCGCCTGGTGCTACGAAACGCTGCAGCAGTATGGCTACAATATACGCAAGGCCGATGGCGATGAGTCGCTGAATGCCGCCTTCCTGGCCAGAAACGAGCGATGGTGGGCGCGCCTCTGGGAATATCTGGGCACGCATCCCTATCGTGCGCTACCTTTCTACACGAACTTCTGCGTGGGATCAGGCCATGGCAGATACGAGTGCGGCGCCCGTGAATCAGGGACGCGCCCCTTCTTCAATCTGGCGCGCCAGGCCCTGCAGCCGTCGGTGCCATTAGGCAACAATGCGGAGCACAGCTTTGACACCGCCTACGCTGGCGGCTGTGCGCTTCGCATTTTGAACTATGAACGCGCCTTCCGGCTGTTCCTCACCGAATTCCAGCTGCCAATGGGCTTGCTGCTTCTGGGTTATGCCTATAAAGTGAATGGGTCTGGCGAAGAGCAGGAGCAGCACACGCTGGATGTGGTGCTGCGCTGTTGCTCGCCCCGACGACCCATGCAGGATGCCTATATCTTCTGTGGCGACTACAGCGAACACATCCTGACGCCGGGTCTCTGCTACATTTCGCCGCTGGTTAGCGCTTTGCCGCTGGGACTGGCCCACGAACAGCTGCCGCCGGAGCAGGGTGCCCTCGGCGAGAACTGGCGTGTGCGCTACTATCTGGTCAAATTCGATGGACCCGTGCAGCTGCAGGACATTGGTCTAAAGTGTCGACGCCCCCAACAGTCGACGGCAAGCGCCCACTTTGGTGCCATCTACGTGCACAGCCTGCAGCTGAGGGATTGGGATGCGGTGCACTCATCACAAAAGGCCGACATTGCGGTTTATGGCAGACAACTTTGGAATCACTCAACCACAACAGCAACTCGACAATAAAGTATCGTATTTCACACAAAAACAATTGGCTTTGTACTCATTTGAGATGGATATATTGTATACACATATATATATATTGATTGTTAGCCGATATAGGAATGTCTCTCTGCGAAATTACTGTGCAATTGTTTGCTCTTGCTGCTTTTTCAATTTAAGAAATGTTTAAATAATGAATATATGAAATTGTTTAATTAATGAATTCAATTACATGCTCTTAAAAAGTGAACCAAGACAAACCTAAAAAACCAATTAAAAGTCCCAAAATAATCATACGTTTTTTAGCTGTGTAGCAAGACTTAAAAATATGCAATTATTGTATAAGCAAATATATAAAATTAAATAATAGTATGATTGTGATTTTAATCATTTTACTTAGCACACAATTAAATTACGCTGTCGCCATTAAGTTCTGATTTGCAAGGTTCTCTTCTATCTACATTATCTCTCGCTCTTCCTGTATTTATTACTCATTTCCCTTTCTTTCGCTTCCACACACATACACAACAATTTGTTCCCCTCTGAGCTGCGCAATTTGTTTGAAGCCTTTTGGCTTTCTCTCGCCATCATTTATCAGGATACGAATCTTCCACCGGCTCAACGCTGCATTTCTGGTATCCCTTTGAGTTTCTGGTTACTCATACAAACACACACACTGTGTATACTCTTTGGTTTCTGCTTGGCAGAGGGGTCAGTTCATCTCAATGTCGGCCAGTTTGCCCACTGACCATCAGTCAACATCACTTGCAGCTCGTTGTGTGGCTCGTAGGCGTGACTCAGAACATTACATGTTTTTTTTTTTCTTGTTGAATCCAGTTTTTTTTTGGCAAAGGTGCCACCATCCACCACACCCACAAAAATGTGGCACAAAAACTTGATAAATTTTAAGAGAATTCGGGACGGTTGTTCGTCAAAAACGTGACCAAAAGTATTGGACAAGCGAGCAAACCACATGCAGAGAAGAAACTTGAACTTCATTTTGTGCAGCTTAAACTGCTGACCAATGCTGCACAAACTGTAATTTAATTAAGTTAAATTTCCTGACTACATGTTTTGATATTAGTTACATTTCCTTAAAGTGCATACTCCAAATATAAATTTCTTTGAATAAAAGTTATCGGAGAGCAACCATGAGCATTAGCTAGGTTTGCCATTTTAGAACGCAGGTTTACTTTCATGAGAGAAAACAAAACGTAAAAATTTAGCGAACCAAAACACTGATGGAGTAAAACTAACCTTTGCCCAATATTGGTCAACATGTAGTTATTGCAAATTATTATTATTATTATGTGTACATCAAAATGTAATCATCTCGATTTTGCCCTCCACATACTTGGGAATACTAGGAGCATCTTTAATCGGTATAAGTAATCAGAACGATATTCCAAAAACTGACAGTGACCCTGATTCAGAACTGGAATGCGAAGTTGAATTTGAATCAGACGAAAAAGATGATTAAACTAATAATTTGTTAAACAAAAATTGATTTATAAAAGAAATATATATTTAGTTAATACATGCTGCAAATATATGTAGTTTTCATATATGCCAATATTGAAATTCTTTACGTTTTAAGTTTGTTATTAAGTTTATTGTTCCTATATAAGGCGTGGTCAGATCGTTCTAACATTTTTTTTCGAATATACAAAATTACACACAACACAATTTTTCGAAATTTTAACAAGAAATTTGCGAATTTAACACAGTGTGCTTTGGCCAGCTCACAAATATTTATGAATGCGTATTGCGTTCTTCAGTTCATGCCATTTTGATTAAATTTGCATATAAATTTCCTTTGTTCAGTTGGTGTGCGAATATCGCCCACTGTTTTCATTCAGCAGCAGGACATCTGGCACCTCCACATTTACTGTCCATGCTGTTTATGCAGCTTGCCGCATTTGACATCGCTTCAACATTTTATGACAGCATCTTATCTGCAGCAAAATGCCATTTTATTTCTCTTTATTTTGTTGTTAAATACACACACTCAAACATATGTATAGTAAACACCTCTCTCTACTATTTGCACAGTCGTTAAAGATGTTATTATTTCGTATTTGTGTCGTTGAAAGAATCGCCAAACGAATAATAATTAAGTGTCCAGTGAAAAACTTACAGACAAATGTGAACATATATTTTGAAGTTATTCAACAGTTTAATTTCGTTTCTTAAGGTCAATTGAAATTTGTCAGTTAACTGCAGAGGTTTTTAATTTAAATAAATATGGAGTTTTAAATTAACATTGATGTCTAGTCTTTGTTGTTGACATAATAATGATAATATTAAGATATTTACTAACTAAATGGCATAAGGGAATAAGTCTGTTACAATTTGCCTAAAAGTATGCCACAGAAAGCTCAAAAGCTTATAGTTACATTTTGCTGAATTTAATAAATAAATAGATGTTAGCTAGCTGATTATGCATTTAAAACTAAAGTAATCAGTAGCCAACTGCTTGTTTCTGCTAGTCAAACACACAAAGTCAATATTACAAAACATATGTCGATCCAACTTCATGATACACTTCTTAAACACTTTTAATGCTTGCCGGTTGCAAAGTGTAAAAAGACAACGCAGAGAAAGTCTCAAAATTAAAAAAGGAGAAAGTTCTGTGAATACGTAAATACGACAGAAGAGAATATCATGCATTTTTTGTAAAGTTTTGTGAGTGCATTTCTTAGTTAAAGGTGGAAAAAAGTTCCATTTTTAATGTCAAGCAAAAACCTGATTTTGTAGTTCCAAGTTTTTGTTGCGTTTATTTCTTAGTCCATCTGCAACTTTTTTCGGTTCAGTTTTCTTGCACAGTTGATGAGTTCCAAGCAATTATGTAAAATGTCTTTATTTTACTTTTACTTCTGCAGCATGGAAAATAGAAATGATAAATATCATTTAAGTACTAATGTCTACATACTTATACGCTGAAAAGTCTTTGATGGAGAGCTTTATGTTCATAACACATACACTTAACACCCAACAACTGCAATTAATGGTGGATATATAAATATTTTGTTTTATTTCCATTTTTCGTCTTTTAGTGCGGAACTTTTTGTTGCGGTATACAGAATTTCTACATGCATGACAGCATCTGAGGCCAAAACTGTTTTACTCCACACACCCCCCTTCATTCAACGTGCCGTTTACGTAGTCTATGCCTACACATAAACAATAAAATGCCCTCGATTTATTTTATTCTTTTTGTGTCTTAGAAATAATTTCTAACTTAACAAAATATATAAAAATATCTCATTTATTTTAATTTGAGAAATACTTTGTTTTTCATTTGTTTTATTCTTTGTTTTTTTGCTGGGTTCAAGCTATTCATTTATTTTATTTTTGTCTTACTCAGATGTATTCGACAGATTATGTGAATCTCTCTCTCTCTCTCTCTCTGAAGACGAATCCCGACGGTATGCGAATTATAAATATTAGTATGTTGCGAAACAGCTTACTGGACTAGACTGTGAGTCTATCCCTGAAGACGAGTCCCGACGGTATTCAAAAAAAAATATATAAAAAAGAAGCAATTTATCTAAATACTGAGTAAATAATAAGCGAGACAAATTTCTGGAAAGTATAAACTCGAATCCATTTTTGTTCTCCTTATAAAATTCTGATAAATATCAAGAATCAAGAATGTAATTTAGAAAATGTAGCTCCTCTTTCCGAAAGACTAAGCCGTGCGATTCAGAAGCAAATTGACTTTCTGAAAAATAAAGTGAGCTGCACAAATATATATTTGGTGAGTGCTGGCTTTGCGTCCTTTTTTCTCTCTTTTTTTTGTCTTTTTTGTTTGCTCTGGCAACTATTTGTCATTTTATTTGCTTAGTTTGGCCTTCCTCGTGCAAGTTTCGCTGCGCTTTCGGTTTGCTTCTTTCGACAAAACTCTGCCTCGCAGCGCGCTGATGCGGAAGCGTGAACGCAGAACGCCAGTTGGGTGGTGCGATTTTTGGGCGTGGTATGGCAATGAAAAGAGGCAACATTCTCAGCTGAGGGCTGCCATCACCATTAGCATTATATTATATGCTGCTGGCCCGGTCAAGACTAGACAAGTAGATAAGTGGGATGTGATTTGTGTAATGCCCAGTTGCGCCTTCGCTGCTGGACTTATGTTTTGAACGTTCCTCGCTTCCGTCTTCACACCGAACAGTTGCACATTTATTTGTATTACTTTTTTGCTTTTAAATCAGCTGCATTGCATCGCATCAGCTAGCTATAAATGAGATTTAAAGCAACTATACCCAACTGACCTCTGCCGGTAATCCCTTTCCGTCCCCGCCTACCTTTTTCCTTTTTTCAATTTACTGCGTTCCTAAATCACCCAAACCGAAAATGCAAAACCAACCATAGCAAGTAAGACTGCCTTAGTCGAGTGAGTTCGACTATGATATACCCTAAAGCCAGCTTTCAAATTTCCGTTTCAAAAGGAAAGCCTCTGCTTTTCAAATTGTGACTTTGCTACCGAAAATTGAAATGTATCGATATTCGAGAAACTTAGGCAGTTATCGATAAGATAAAGCAAACTTGATTTCTTGTTATATGACAACTAATGTTCCAAATTTGAAGTCTTTATATATCGAATCGGCTCTTGTTCCTGATCAAGAATATATATACTTTATGGGATCAGAGATGCTTCCTTCTGCATGTTATATCCATTTGCACAAAACCATTTAACTCATTTTTACCCATTTTCAGGTCATACAAATGCATTTGCATTCGGCTGAAATTGAAGTTGACCTAATTTCGCATTGTGTGATAATCCTTTGGGAAGGATTTGATTTTACCATTTAGGTGCATTACTATGAAATTTACATGAATTGTAATCAGCTTGTAAATGCATATACTGACGTGTATTTGTGGCTATTGTCTAGTGTCACAGTAATTCCAACAAAAAAAGCATAAATGTCTAGAATAGACCGATATATATATATATTTAAGTACCAGACTGAGATTTGTTTTAGTATTTTGTGTGATAGAAAAAGAATCCCGTGCTGATGTAACTATTACGCAGTACGCAAACTTTTTTTATTT